ATCTCATCCTTAAGACCTGTGATAAAAGTTCCCCTCAGAATTTCAACATTCTTTTGAGGTGCTATCACCATTTCAAATTCATCTCTGAACTCCTTCACAGTTCCAGTTTGTTTAAGGCTAAGCATAGATCCATAAGGATTCTGAATCAAGTCAGGTTGAAACCTACGTATAACAGATTCCTTCAAGGATTCCCTCTTCAGTTTGGTTTTCCCACAACTGAAACCAATTTAGAGCCCTATCCTCCATAGCTACTACTGAGGCCTCCACTTTATCATTCTCCTCAATTTGATTTAAACGAAAATATCTCTCCATCCTCACAATCCAATTGTACGCTCCATCACCATTAAACAAAGGTAAATCTACCTTTCTACCCGTATATACTGGAACTTTATTAATCTCATTACTTCGTTGATGAGTATGGACATGAGAATGCACAGAATTACCTCTCGAATGTGCTGGACTGTGCGAAGATCGCGATCTTCCCTTGGACTGAAGCTTTTCATTCATCGCTGCCATAGAAGTGGCGATGTTTTCCATAGCCGATCTCAACTCCGTTTGCAATTCCGTTCGCAACTCCGTTCTCATTTCCAGAAGGTTTTGTTCCAGCGAATCAACTCGATTCTTCATTTTAGCTCTCGTTCTGACCATTCACACCTTAGACGACTTCTTCCAGGTTTTGCGACACAGAATCCGGTCACCAGAAACAACTGCTCTGATACCAATGATAGACACTGGTAAAACCGACTCACAACACAGTAGAATCAATAGCAATTATCGAGAAACAAGATCAGAAGAAAGTTTATTGAGGTAGGGAAGAAGTACAGAACGTATACAAGCATTGGACTATTTGAGATGCCCAGTCTCCAAGATCCAAGTCCAACCGAAATAACAGCCTACCTTTCTTAGTTCATGCACTTCTATTTATAGTAGTTTGTCCACGCAGGGAACAATATAACTAACAGACTAGTTAGTTATTACTAACTACTTTTCTACTCTTCCTTTGGTAAACTTTGTTATAAAACTGAACTGGTTGCCGTATTAAGTGTCTATCAGCGTCCATTGTCATCATCGTTGAACGTGTCTTCAGATGAAGATTGCCGCAGGTTAATAGATTCCTGCTGGGAACCTGTAGACTCGTATAGAGATTGCGAACCCGGGACTTCATATCTCGATTGCGTCTTATGTGAACTAGTTGTAGATAATGAAGCCTGCGAACTGAAGTACGTTGCTGGCGATCGCGAGAATGAAGCCTGCGAACTGAGAGAACTGGTTCGCATCTGCGAACTTGGAGAAATAAACAATGATGCTGAGTGCGAAGACTTCTGCGAACGAATGAGGGAATTGACTTGCGATGGCAAACTGTAAGGAGAAACAGTAGTTCACGTCGAAGATTGCGAACTAAGAGAAGTTCTTGGCGACCGGGATGATTCCTATTTTTCTATCTTCCGCCTGCGTCTATGATAGGATCTCCTTGTTCTTAGCTCAATTAACAGAATTGAATTTGAAAGAAAAGAAGAAAATACTGCTTTCATTCAATATAGGTAAACCGTACAAGAATTGTCCCAAGAAGGAGATAGAACTCCAACTCCCAGTCCCAGACAATGAACTAACAAAAGCCTGCCTTCCCTCTGCAGAATTATTCTCTTTATAACCTTCACAAACGAAGGTAGTTATTAGTTACTAACAGCTCCTATAACTAATAACTAACTAGTCTACTTTGACTTTCTAGAATAGACTTGCCCATAGAATCTATTTCTATTAGGTAGACTAGCCGGGTCCTTATCAGTCTAGGTGGGAAACGCCTAGTCGTTGCATCCTTCAGAGCCTCCCAACTCTTTTCTCTCGCCCTTTCTTGAGTTCTTGAGTTTCCCACCATTGAAACTAGTCTAACGCCCTTTCGTCCATTGCGTCTACTGTGACTTCAACCTTATCTTTTTCCGCAGTAGCGTTGAGTCGGAAGTATCGCTTCATCCTAACTATCCATCCATACGCTTCATCCCCGTTGAATAGAGGTAAATCTTCTGATCCCTGACTAGCGTAATTTCTCGTGTGCCCAAGATGCGAAGTGCTATGCGAAGTGCGATGCGAACTGTGCGGAGTGAGCGACCGATTCCTCGATTGATTCTGGTTGCTGTTCAGTTTTGCGAGTGACTCCTGTATTGCCACCAAGGTCATCGTAGTTTTCTCCATAGATTTCTCTAGCTTGTTCATACGTAAGTCCATTTGCGCCTGAGTGAACACTGATAATTTGATCAAGAAATCTTACTGAAATGGTAAAGAGTTGATCAAGAAGTGATCAAGAAAACTCTATTTTCATTAGTCGAGGAAAGTGTACAGTGAGTTCCCAAAGAAACGAGACACCTTGCCTCAATTTCTCCCAGCCCAATAACTGTCTAACAGCCTACCCTTATTACCCACCCCCCTTCTATTTATACTACTCTAGCTATTACTCTTCTTATATACTCTTATTCTACCGGGTCCCTAACAATATGACACAAGTCGGAAGTCCTCAGCTACAGGAGGTAATTTTGATCGATCTCAATCCTCAGCTACATTATAGACTTACCATAAGGTCTAATTTGGATAATCTTCATCACCTTTCATTCAGTGGTGATGAAGCATATGGTTGGATTATTAGGGCTGAAAGGGGTTTTAAACTGAGCAATATCACTGATGAGGACCGAGTTCCAGTTGTCATGGTAGCGATGGAAGGCTGAGCACTGAGCTGGTTCCAGTGGTGGGAGGAACAAGCGACTGAGCTCAGCTGGAAAGAGTTTAAGGAAGCTTTGATCCGTCGGTTTCAGCTGGAATTGGTGTAGAACCCGTTCGGACCCCTTTTGAGTGCTAAGCAAACAGGAAGCGTGATGGAATATCGAGAGAACTTTGAATTGGTGGTAGCACCTCAGAGAAACACTAATCCGGAGATGTTGAAGGGAATATTCTTAAATGGACTGAAGGAGGAATTGCATGCTGAACTTAAACTGTATCATCCTGGATCTTTATCCGAGCTTATGGACAGGGCCTTGTTGCTGGAAGAGAAGAACAGGGCGTGGAGACGAGGAAAAAATAAGGAAGAAGACAAAAAAGACTAGAAGGAATAGGGAGGGACTATGGTCATCTGAACTGGGTGGAAGCAGCAAAGGGAAGAACACCTATTCAGTCACAGACTCCTGAGGAAAAACTTTCAAAGAACAAACTGGTGGAATCACCAAAACTGAATAAGACATGGGAGGGAGGCCACAGGATGACACAAGCGTAGTTACAAGAAAGAAGTAAAAAGGTCCTATGCTTTAAATGTGGAAACAAATGGAGCAAAGAGCATGTTTGTGGAATGAAACATGATCAATTTGTCTTGATGGAAGAGCCAAAAGAAGAGAAGGGAACAAGTGATCTGCAACCTGAACTGGATGTAGCCAATAGTCTGCTAAAAATAAATGCCAGATCAGTTTCTTACTACCCACATTGAGGACAAGTTGGTAGTTAAAGAGGGAGTGATACTAGGGACCCGGACACTCCTAATAAGAATAATACTAAGTCTATTAATATTGTATAGTAAAAGGGTCCTAGGCCCAATAACTTAGGGCTGAGGGCCGGCCCTTTTGGATAGTATTATACGCAGTAATAATGAGTGGGTAAGGGGAAAAGGGGGAGGACTTTTGGGATCAGACTGGGAACTGGGAGTGCGAGACTACTTTAAGTGTCTCAATTGTATCTTTCATTTCCGTTTCTTCTCTTACTTATACGCTAGGCGACGAATTCTGCCATTGTATTTGCTTCAGGAATTCAAAGGTTTTCTCTGTTTTCCCTACTTAGTATACATAACTGTCAGGTCTCTGTTACCACTAACATGAATTGATCCATGGTATATAAGATAAAAGAACATAAGAAAGATAAAAGATAAAAATAACACAAGAACATAAGAAAGATAAAAGAAAAAGTGAGAGAGAGAAGAGATCAATCCTCCACACGAATATTTTCCCTCCGCTTTGCTCTCTCCAAAGCCATACTCTCATTCCACAATAAGAATCATATCACTCCTAATTCCTCTAATCCACGTCTGTTAGGGTCATCCTCTCCCTCTCCTCCCAACCTCTTCTCCCCAACTTTCAACTCGTCTATCAGGTGCATCACTCGGTCTTCTACGCACATGATCAAACCACCACAACCGAGACTCCTGCATATCATCTTCTATAGGTGCTTCTCCCACGCTAGTACTTATTTGAATAACCACAATAAATGTGTTTGATGATTTCCCGTGCTATTCATTCACAAATTTATAAGCAGTTCATTCATTTCTAATTCTCATAAAGGATGACAAAATGCATGCCTAAACTTGTGTTCACTGTTTTAGGGATATTATATGTGTTTGTTTCAAAACGAACATTTGTACATATGTATTCTAGAGAGTAATAAAGTTTCTGAATTCGAAAGAATTTTTAGGGGGGTATAAATGAACTACAACAACATCCAAGCCTTATCCACAAAACTATACTTGATATTTAGTTTAGGTTACTGAGTCATGTTCCTTGAGCCACTCAGCGTTCATAAGCTTGTCTAGCCAATAGAGTAGCATGAATTCCTCTTTCCCCTCATGGCACGAACTCTAGTGGCCTGTGGGATTTTCCTGTGTGGCTATATTTATGAGTTGCTAGTAGAAAATGGTCTTAACAATCTTATTTTGTGACTTTTACATCAGCTCGCATATAAGCATTTCATTCATGCCATATAGCCATCCAACCTTCATAAATGTCTTCATTTTCATTGCAGTCATTCATTTTATTCAATGTTCCAAATGCTTTTAACATCATGGATTGCATCCAGCATTGTGAAACATTTGTTGGAGGACCACCCCTCACTTTGTTTCTATCATTTTTAGTAGGGAGGTTCTTATTGTGACTTAGTGTAAAATTATTGTCACATTTATAGATGAATCTTACTGTGGTAATTTACACACTCTCATATCACATGGTAAGGATTTGCTTTAGATGATCATTTTGCAGGTAATAGATTTATTGTTGGATACTGAAATGACACCAAGGAAACCTCAATATGTAATGTCCCCAGAGATTCCACTGGTTCTTCAGTGCTGTGAATTTGAAGGCGTCAGTTTTCTTTGCTCAACTGGTACTCAATGTCTCTCTTGATATTAATATATTTTCACAGGTTGGAGCTTTGAAATCAAATTTAATTTCATTCATCATCATTACCCTAGTGCCGCAAAGGCTCCCACCTACGGTGGGGTATGGGAGGGTCGGATGTACGCAATCTTATCCTTGTACTAAAGCACATAGAGACTATTTTCGGATGACCCATAGTAAAAATCGTGTTTAAAATTGCATGGACTGACTGCTGCTTCATAACAAAGAAGCGCAGACAGATTAGTGACCCATTTTTCTTTATTCCATCATATTCCCAAGCCAAAAAAATAATAAGTCTTTTGCTCCTTTACAAATGATGGACAAATCAAATTTAATTTTTTGTTCTCCTAGATATTTGCTAGTTTTTCCTTCATTCAATTTCCACCTTATTTTTGATACATTAAATACTTTAGGGAGGCACCAAAGGTCGTATTACTTGTTTCATGTTGAACTCTCCCTTGTTTTAGATGCACTGGTCTTTCCTACTTATGCTGCATTATTGAATTTATTAGCGTGAAATTTTCAATTAGGCCCTGCACAGAATGTATTTCTTCTTCAGCAGCAGTCTAGTTGCATGGCAGATTCTGTCATTGGCTTTAAAAAGTGGGAGGTGTAATGAATGTTTTGTAGAAGAGTCCAAACTTCCATAACATTTTTGTTTTCCCAAACTAGAATTTTATTGGGTTTTGCATGCTTACATTGTTAAAATTTAAAGAAAAAGGGTGTCGTGGAGTGATCTTGAGCATGCATAGTGACATTTAGCTGTGAAACAGGTTTGTAAATGGCTGAAACCTGTAATCTTGGTATCCAAATCCAATAAGATCATAAGTAGTTATATTCAACACAGTATGTGGCAGTTTTTCTATGTATTCCATAAAAAAGGTAACACTCCATCCCTGAGGCCCCCCAGAACCGGACAGTTATCTGGGAGGATGTAAATTGAATATTGATCTCACTCTGATGGAAAGAGAGTGGGGTTCCATCCCAAGTCATTGCTTGGAGTTGAACCCAGGATCTCTCCTTTGTGGCACCCCCTTCCTACCAGGTGAGCTACGCCTCCCGGTATGTCATATGTGTTCCATCGCCCCAGGATGTAACCTTGTTAGGAATAAATAATAAGTGAGCCTATTATTATAGATAATAATAAGTGGGCCTGCAATATTAATAGCAGGGAAAGGGTTATGGGCTATATTAGTAGTCTATCCCTATGGGAATATTAACTATACATAGAGTTGGGAGTAGCTAAATAAAGTAGTTTGTTATTCAGTTGGCTTTTGGATTGGAGAGAGGGCTTCTCGAACAGTCCCAAGGCTTGTATACGTACTGTGATCATTTACAGCATATTTCTTCATAGATCTGCTACTTTATACTCTGAATTGGTTAGCGATCTATCATTGGTATCAGAGCGTAGCTCCTGGGGATTGGAATATAGTTGTGACTTCAGCGAAATTGTCGTTGCCAGTGGTGAATGGCCCGGACGCGAGCGAAGATGGATATTCACGTGGATAACCTGGAATGAAAACTGCTGGAGGTTCAAGCGGAGATGAAGGATGAACTTCAGTCAGCGATGAACGAACAACGTTCAGCAATGGAAAATTGGGTGGCAAACTTGACGGCTTCCATGGCTGCGTTAAGTGAGCAATTGCAGTCCAGAGCTAGATCGCGATCACCACCTCAACAACCTGTGCGAACTTCTAACAGTCCAACAGCTTCCGGAGGTAATCCAAATCATTCTCGCATCCAAAATCACAGAATACATGAGGATTGTAATAGATTTACATTTCAACCTTTTAGAAAATCAATTTGCCTGTTTTGTACGGGAGAGAATGAATATAATTGGATTGTTAGAATGGAGAGGTACTTCCGCCTGAACCAGATTAATGAAGAAGAACAGGTGGAAGCTGCAGTTGTCGCGATGGAGGATCGAGCTCTAAACTGGTTTATTTGGTGGGAACACCAAACTGAAAGGAAGAATTGGGCAAATCTGAAGACTTCTATCATACGCAGGTTTCAGCCAGACCTTATTCAGAATCCGTATGGGCCTATGCTTAGCTTGAAACAAACTAGGACTGTGAAGGAGTTTACAGAGGAGTTTGAAATGGTGATAGCTCCTCAAATCAATGTGGATATGGAGTTTTTGAGAGGAATTTTCATTAATGGCCTGAAGGATGAGATAAAAACGGAACTGAAGTTACATAACTCCACCTCCTTGACTGAAATTATGGACAGAGCTCTACTAATTGAGAGTAGGAATGAAGCAATATATCTGAAGAGCAAAGAAGAAGACAGTTTACCTTGGAAGGAGAAGGGAACTGCTGCTGTTAAAACACAAGCATGGACTGAAGGATTTAAACCTAAAATGGGAAACTCTTGGCCTAATACTTCTGGGAAGAGTGCAGCTGAAAACAAGAGTAAACCATCTTGGTTTAGTCCTGATAGGAAGGAGACAGAAATAACTCCCTCAGACATTAGAAGGGTGGGGCCACAACTGTCACAGGAAGAATATCAGGACAGGAGCAGGAAGAGACTTTGCTTTAAGTGTGGGGAAAAATGGAACAAAGAACATACCTGCAAATTAAAGAATTACAAACTAATACTGGTGGAAGATTCTGATAGTGAGGAAGAAGTACAAGGTGCAGAAGCGGTTGGTGGTACTCATTGATAGTGGGGCTACCCACATTTTTATAGTTTCAAGGTAAAAGGGAGTTTAGAATGGGCTGCAGGGAGGGCAGAGGTTGAAGTACTCATTGATAGTGGGGCTACCCACAATTTTATATCACAGAGGTTGGTGGATCAATTGGGACTAAGCATACACACCATTACTGGATACAGAATTCAAATTGGTAATGGAGAGAATATTATAAAAAATGGCAGATGTGAGAATCTAACACTAGGATTACAAAGTACCAAAATAAATCAGCACTTTTATGTTTTGGATCTGGGAGGTACAGACTTGGTGCTTGGGATGGAATGGCTGACTACTTTGGGTGATGTGGAGATAAACTTTCAGAAACAAAGTATAAAATGGAAGGTTCAGGGAGTAATTGAGCAGATTCAAGGGGATCCACACTTGAATTCCAGTAAGATATCACTGAAAACCATGACTCAGATCCTGCAGGACACTGGTGATGGTTAATTTGGGTTTTATGAAGGAAGAGCAATTGAGATGAAAGAAGCAGAAGAATTAGAGGAAATTCATGTAGAAGAGCAGCCTGAAGGAATAATCCTCCAAACTAATGACAACAACAAGATTCAGGAATCACTTGGATGGAGTGAAAAGCCAAAGGTGAAGGTAGCAATGATGAAGATCCAAGCACAGAAGATAAAAGCCCAGAAATCAGCGAAGTACTGGAAGGGGAGAGGTGCAAGAATGAAGTGGAAGTTGAAGATCGTGGCTATTCCCTATCACCCACCTTGAGGACAAGGTGGTTGTTTAGGAGGGGAGTATTGTTAGGAATAAATAATAAGTGGGCCTATTATTATAGATAATAATAAGCGGGCCTGCAATATTAATAGCAAGGAAAGGGTTACGGGCTATATTAGTAGTCTATCCCTATGGGAATATTAACTATAAATAGAGGTGGGAGTAGCTAAATAAAGTAGTTTGTTATTCAGTTGGCTTTTGGCTTGGAGAGTGGGCTTCTCGAACAGTCCCAAGGCTTGTATACGTACTGTGATCCTTTCCCGTTAAATAAACATCTTCGATCATTTACAGCATATTTCTTCATAGATCTGCTACTTTATACTGTGAATTGGTTAGCGATCTATCAAACCTACAATGTGTTCCATAGCACTATTAGAAGTTGTTAGTCCTACTATTCCGTTGTTTTAATGATCTATATGCATTTCTGAACCTGGTCTTCATAGATGCCAAGCAAACTTTGCTTGAACATTTGGAGAGGGAATGCCTAAGCTACAAACTGAAAGCTGCAATATTTCAGGAGGCTCTACTAAGCTTTTCATCTGTCGAATATGGTAACATATATGCCATGTTTCCTACTTTTCTAAAAATGAATCCTCTTTTTCAAATGTAGTCCCAATTGATACTAGTAATGGGAATCTAACATGTCAGATAACAGTGTAATGAAAACAAGAATGAAAAGGAAAGCAGCTTCCTATGTCTCTCTGCTATCACGCCCTACTGAGCGTAAGTTCTGATCTCTTAACACTTGAACTTGGCCTTTTTGCTTCTGATCTGATTCTGCAACAGGTGGTCTCATGTTTTTGGAACTTTGCAGCATCCTATGAAGAGCGCCGTGCAAGACTGGATGCCGCACGGGATTGAGAGTAAATTTCATTTTTGGACGTCCTCAATTAAATAAAACAGATAAATCGATATAAGCTCATAGGTTTTTAGCAAATTAAGGGCAATTCTCATATGCGACAATGGGATACATTCACTAATTTTCCTTCTTTATTTATACCGTTTTACAAAAAATACTACAAGAAGAATCGACTCCCAATGTATAGAAGTTTGACAGTATCTAATAATAATAATTATAGAATACCTATTTTGCGAAATTATCAACTTCAGGGTTAATTATCTTGATATGATTTAGAGCTTACTCCAAAAGGGATAGGCTCGGCCCAGCTGCATCACCCTTCATCAAAAGCTTAATCTATCATGTAAAGCTTAGCCAGGCTGGTTGTCACTTATCAGGTTGTTCAACTTGACCCTATGATGGCGAGTTGCTCAACCGCTTCATTGGGATAGGAATGCAGCCCTGTTGCACTTCGGCTCATGCTTAATTTGACGAATTCTATTGATTGTTGATATGATTCTGTTATAATTAAACCACTGTAGTCAGCTTTATCATGTAACCATGTTCTACCATGTATAGATAAGCATCGATCGCCGCTTGATCTTTCTAAACATGCTTACTACACTTGAGGACCATTCACTCCCGCTTGGATGTCAATGGAAAATGGGAACATTAATAGACTGCTCGATCAACCAATCAACCTCACCCATATGCATTAAGTCATGAACACAAATGCATTGAAGTCATGAAATCTCAACAAGAATTACATCTATGACGGAGTATATGGGCTTGAACACATGGGTCACATCACTAAGGTGAGTTCAAGCCCTACCCAGTTGATGTATTACAAACCCCTCGGTTGTTGCCCATCATCCAACGACGGCCTTTTTCACAATAGATGTAACAGCCCCAAGTTCTTACGTAAAATACTTGCTATATATAGTTGGAATATATTAGTGATGGACCGGTACCAGGCTGACCGGCCCGTGAACCGGACCGGCCCGCTACTGTGCGGGCCCGGCCTGGCCCGGGAGTCGGGTACCGGTTTCGGGCCTAGGACCGGCCCGGAGACTTAGGGTGGGGCGGTTCTGGGCTGCCCTTCCTTTGGAACTGGCCGGCCGGGCCCGGTTCAGGCTTTTTTTTCAATTTTTTTTTTTGTTTTCCCTAGATGGACGGGGTGTTTTGGGGGGCGGGTTTGGGGGTGAGGTGGGTCGGGGGTTAATTAGAAAAGAAAAAAAATAGGATCGGCCTGGCCCAGCCCGGACCCGGTGGATACGCGGGCCAATTCTGACCCTTCCCCCAACATAAAAAGCCCGCTCAAGATCGGCCCGGAATCGGTCCATGTCTAGAGTATATTCCCATACACCCCAAGGGTATCATAATCACCTGCATACACATCACAGATCCATCCCAGAATACACAAAAGTACTAAGTCCTCAACTGGGACCGACCCTGACCTTGAGCCACCAAGGTCGAGACAAAGTGCCAGACAATGAAACAACAAAGGACCGAAGACCAGCCGACCCTGACCCCGACCCCTGAGGTCGGCCATATACCAAGCTCGGGAATCGCTCAGACACGACAAGATATGAGGTCAACCTTGAATGCACCGGGCTCGGCACCAACTCTGACCCCGAGCACTAAAGCGAGGTAAACCAAAGTCAACGATCCCAAGGCAGAATTAGACAATAGACACATTCCCCAGCGATGAGCTCGAGCATCCAAGTACTGACCTCAGTGAGCTTGAGGTCTGACCAAAGCATCATTGACTTAGACAAATATGTGGGAACAGACATCGCATAAGATTGTTGTTGGATCACTCCTGGCAGCAGGCAGAAAGAATGTCCCGAACTATACACGTGTAACTACACGAACATTCGGGTATCAGCTTGTTAGGGGCAGTTTCAATCAGCCAGTTGTCTCGGTTATCTCTCTAATCACCTTTACACGTGGTTGCACCCTATTGATTTAGTCTATTAGTTTGTTAGAACAGATTGGACACGCGTCCTCTCCCCATTAGATCATCATCTTTTTTACTTGGGCACCAAGCATTGTCTTTTTAGTTTTTATTTTATTTTTTTTACTCTAGGGGGTCTGGAGGGAGGGGGGCTAGGGGGGCTGGAGTAGTCAGGCCTAGCGGGTTTTGAACTCGAGACCTTCCACTAGGCACGGTAACCTCACAACCAGCTGGGCTGGAATGCTTGGTTACATGCCTTTTTAGTATAAATATCACCTTCCAGCTTGTGGAAAGGGATTGATTTTTGTATGCTCTTGCTGTTGCTCTGCTAAAATGTCTACTTGAGCTTTTCGATCAACTCTTCTCTCTACTTTACTCGGATTCTGGCTACCCCTAGGTCGGTGATCCATCAATAGTACTTTAATAAAACATTTCTAAAAAATATTTCAAATAGATTATATTGCAGTGGAATTTAAAAAACAATAAGTTAAATTTGTTGTACCCTGTTCTCACTTAATTGAATGAACATGTTATACTACAATAAAAATTAAAGCACAAGCATTTAAGTATCCAACTTAATTTAATTAAATTATCTACATGTTCTCAAAATCTAAACTTAAAATAAATACTTCGTATATGACAAATAAATAATAACCAAGCGTTCTAGCGTAGCTCTCTTCAATAAGCATATCATAAACCTCATCTCTTGCACAAAATGAAGTGCAGAAAGAAAACAAAAGAGAAACAAAAATTAGTTTTATAGCTAAGTGTTGAGGTTTATTCCTCCTGGTCCAAGGGTCCAACACGTTCCTTTGGATGTTGTTGGAATGCTAAGGTTAAGATGAAGAGGATCTAAATAATGACAACAAGAAGATACAATTAACCGACTGTATTGAGGTGAATAAGCTGAATTCAATGCTAATACAAGAGCTAGGGAGGGGAGCATATCACTTGTGAGTACAATTTTTGTTAACCCCGTACAATGAATTAAATATTGGTATTTATACTATGAATGAGTAGTTGAAGGGGGTGGCATGGCCGACTCTGAGTGGATGACCCCCAACCATAAAACCATCCATATCTCTTGCATTAAATGTGTTTTCCGCTAATTGTGAAGTTTCTCGCCAATGCTCTTGGGTCGATCCTCCACTGCTGGCCTCTCATGGCGGAATAAATGATTCAAGTATGGTGGTGTAGCAGTTCGGCAATGTCGTGCGATTGCGCCCGTACTGGACCACCTGCTGGGATGCTTATGCGGATCTTGGGGGTATTTTGGGCCTGTATTTGAGCCGGGCCATAATATCCCAACACAAATTCTCCACTTCTGATGTTCCGAGCGTGCGCAGGACATAAAGAAGTTGAGTCTGCCCCTTCTGCTGTTCGGGGTTAATAGCCAGAGATGTTTCCAAAACAAACGTCGTACGGAAACACCGTTGGAGTTGTTCTTCGCGGGTTCCCGATGCTTGGACTTGATGGTTCTTTTTGGTAGTTGGTTGGCTTCTCTAGGCAAAAGCCACGATTACCTGACCTTTCCCCTCCGTGAGACATGTGTCCCTGAAGGCTCTCCTCGCCACGCGTCCTCCACTGGTTGGCCGGTGAAACGATGTGTTGGCCTATAAGTAGGGGCCTTGGGTCGCTGATTCCGGGTTGCGAACTTTGCTTCCTCTCTCTAGCTTCGCTCTTGCTTCTCTCCAGAAACCCTAGTTCGAGTTTTTTTGCCTCAGGTATTTCTTGGGTCTTCGTCCTCTCCTAATTCCATCTCTTATGCTTCATTCTCTGTTCGACACTATGTCTGAAAGTGACGAGCACTTTTGTCAAGGTGCGTCAAAATAAATTCAATACTAAACACTTATACGTAGTATAGTGTAGTAGAGTTCGTATCCACAGGGAAAGGTATAATTCTCTTTCTATGAACTTAATGAATAAAAAGGGGGGTTTTGGTTTGAGTGATTTAATTTAATTAAAAACTAAGATGAACAACCTATATGTGTTTAATTCAAGAATAAAAGGGACTTGGCTTTGCTACTTTCCACTTGTTGATATATTTTAGTCGATCCTTGTTATATCTATAACTTATCCCCTCTCGAATACTCAATCGAGGAGTATCTCCAATTCATCGAGGGTAGTTATTAACAACGACCGTTCATTAATAACCCTTACTATTAATCAAATATAGAACAACGCCTTATACCGATATAATAGTAGCATTCAATCTTTTTAACTTCTTGATGAAATCAATTGAGATTGATAACCTTAACACAACGGTTTCGGTTTAACCAACAAAATTGATCCCTCTTAAGTCTATTAACCACGACCGTGCATTAATAAACCGAAGTTACTTACTTGTGAAACCACCAACGATTAACCATCGGTTCGTTGATCGTTTCTAGTAGTAATTAATGTCGGAACGTTAACTAATCGTCACTTAGCAACCCTCCAACATTAATATAGAATGAGATTAAGGGAAGAATTAATAATCAAGAGAAGAAGTTAAGAAAATAACTCACAACTTTAATAATCAACAAGCTTCAAGAGCAAAACCAAGAATGAAAGTTTAGCTCCTCATTTGGAGGCTAAACATAGCTAGAAAATATAAAGAAATGCTATTCTAAACTGAGCTAAAGAGTATGGAAGAAGGGATGATTTTAAGAGGAGAAAAAGAGTGCTATTTATAGGTGTTTTTCAACACCTTTGGCCGGGTATCCGACCGGGTATAGGTACATACCCGACCGGGTACCGGTCAAAATCAGATAATCTCCCACGTTTCATTGTTCCAGCACGTTAATTTGTCCGGGTCAAGTCAGACCCGACCGGGTCAAGTGAGGGACCCGACCGGGTTTGGTCTAAATCAGATTTTTTCCAAAATCTTTGTGATCTTCAGCATGTTCTGGTGTTCCGGGTCATATCTGACCCGACCGGGTCGGGTATGGTACCCGACCGGGTCTTACTTTTTCTTCTTAGATCTGTTCCTCAACTGACCCGACCGGGTTCAAGGTCTGACCCGGTCGGGTTTTTGTGCTCCTGGGTCTTTTTGTCTTCAGTTTTTCTCCCTTTTTCCTTGCTACAAACTCTATCGCTATTCTAAAACTCCGAAAAATAAGGAGAGAACAATTACAAACAAAATAAAACAAGTACTTACAAACTAACTAAAAGTGATGGAAAATCCACACTCAATCAACATAAAAACATACGTTTATGCACTATAAACTAGTGCATATCAAACACCCCCACACTTGAATTTTTACTAGTCTCGAGTAAAACATATTCTGTCCAAGGGGTCCTTAATTGACAAGAGTAGC